ACTGACCTGTTGCCAATTAACCATCCATTCTTCCATGTTAGTACCACTTACTTTGCCAGCTTTTTCTTGCCCTGTCCCAACTTTTTGGAGATGTATTGCTGCCATCCATTTCAAAGGTATCGTATTTCTTTTCTTAAAATGGTACATTCTCTCAGTATAAACAGTTGATTTATTTTCTATTGTAAATAAAATATTGTTTTTTGAGATTTGCAAATCATTGCATTCTGTTGTTATGTAGATTTTACAGAGTGTTTCAACTTTTTTGGAATTGGTGTTGTATCTTGGCACCCAGGCAGATGGAACTACACATAAACACCTACTGTTTCAGTTTTCAGTGGATGCTGTACAGTTAAATTCCATGACAGTTTCTTCTATTCCTTAAGTGCTCTACTGGTGGATTCTGCTAACCTATTTTGCCCATTATGAGGGGCTCCCACCATCCCTGAGCTGAGTTCCCAGTCTGTACACCTGCTGTGCCCATTATGAGGGGTTCCCACCATCCTTATGCTGAGTTTCCAGGTCTGTACACCTGATGTGCCCGTTATGAGGAGTTCTCACTATCCCTTTGCTGAGTTTCCAGGTCTGTACACTTGATGTGCCCATTATGAGGGGTTCACACCATCCCTTTGCAGAGTTCCCGGTCTGTATACCTGCAGTGCCCATTAATAGGGGCTCCCACCATTCCTGAGCTGAGATCACAGGTTTGTACACCTGCTGTGCCTATTATGAGGGGTTCCCACCATCACTGTGCTGAGTTCCTGGGTCTGTACACCTGCTGTGCCCATTATGAGTGGTTCCCACCATCCCTGTGCTGAGTTCCTGGGTCTGTAACCTGCTGTGCCCATTATGAGGGTTTCCCACCATACCTGTGCTGAGTTCCTAAATCTGTACACTTGCTGTGCCATTATGAGGGGTTCCCACCATGCCTTTGCTGAGTTCCCAAATCTGTACACCTGCTGTGCCCATTATGAGGGGTTCCTGCCATTCCTGTGCTGAGTTCCCAGGTCTGTACATCTGCTGTACCCATTATGAGGGGTCCCCACCATCCCTGTGCTGAGTTTCCGGGTCTGTACGCCCGCTGTGCCTTGTGAACGTGTACCAGTGTTTCTCAACGCAGCCTAAAGTCCAAGAATAAGTGGGCCAGGGGTGGTGGTTTTGTTACAGGGTTTCAGCCCGTCCAGCACTGAAAATGTGCATTAGGTTGTGTGGCAGAAACTGGCGTAACAACCAGTCACAAGGGGGCCTTTGAGTAGATAAACTGTGGTGCAAAAAAAAACTGTTGGTGATCTTCATCATGTTGATTGGTGCCGTTGTTCACCAAATGTTACCTTTCAGATTTTTACCAGCCCTGTGAGAACAGAGGAAGGAGCCAGCTCCCTGATTACTGGGGAAAATATCGATCTCTCTGATGTAGATACAAAAGAGGAGAATCTGAGAATTATTTTGAAGTCCCGTCCCTCTGCATGGAAACCTGGAACTCCACGGAGTCATTCTGCCTGAGGGAGGCTCCTTTAGCCTTGAAGATCTTCGAAGTTTGAACGTCAGGTAGGAATAAAGTGCTTCTTCATTACAAGATGGAAAGTATTTATATCAGCCATTCTCAACTATTGCAACATGGGAGAGCCAGTAGCATGACACCAATTATCTGACTGTAACAGTGGCAATTTAACCACCACTGTAATGGGGGACATTCTTCCCACTGAGCACCAATTTAAAAGAGTGTTGTCCTCACTGACCACCAATGTAGAGTGTTGTCCTCACTGTCCGCCAATGTAAGGAGTTTTCTTCTTACTAACCATCAATGTAAGGGACATTCTTCCCACTGACCCCCAATGTAAGGGAGCATTCTTCCCACTGATCACCAATGTAAGGAGCATTCTTCCCACTGACCCCCAATGTAAGGAACATTTTTCCCACTGACCTCCAATCTAAGGAACTTTCTTCTTACAAACCATCAATTTAAGGAGCATTCTTCCCACTGATCACCAATGTAAGGAGCATTTTTCCCACTGACCTCCAATCTAAGGAACTTTCTTCTTACTAACCATCAATGTAAGGAGCATTCTTCTTCCCACTGATCACCAATGTGTATTCTTCCTACTGACCCCAATGTAAGGAGCATTCTTCCCACTGACCCCCAATGTAAGGGACATTCTTCCCACTGACCCCCAATGTAAGGGACATTCTTCCCACTGATCACCAATGTAAGGAGAATTCTTCCCACTGATCACCAATGCAAGGGGTATTCTTCCCACTGATCACCAATGTAAGGGGCATTCTTCCCACTGACCACCAATGTAAGAGACATTCTTCCCACTGACCGCGAATGTAAACAGCATTGTTCTCATTGACCACTAATGTAAGGAAACTCTTACCACTGACCACCAATGTAAGGAGCTTTTCTTCTTACTAACCATCAATGTAAGGAGCATTCTTCCCACTGACCAGCAATGTAAGGGGCATTCTTCCCACTGACCGCGAATGTAAACAGCATTGTTCTCATTGACCACTAATGTAAGGAAACTCTTACCACTGACCACCAATGTAAAGTGTTGTTCTTACTGACCACCAATGTAAAGAATACTCTTCCCACTGACCACCAATGTAAGGAGCATTCTTCTCACTGACTACCAATGTAAAGAACGTTGTTCTCACTGACCACCTTTATAAGGGGCATTTTTCCCACTTTTTCTCCATGTCTACTCTATCTCAAGAAAATGTTGCTTTTACACCAGGAAAGATCTGAACCTTCATGTGCACCAACTAGGGCCCCATCAAGCGCGTAGAAGATAGGACACCTCTGTGTTGAGTAAGAAAAACAAGCAAAAGGGACATTGATTAACCAAAGAATCTATTTACTGAGTTCAACCCAGTCACCAGTGACTGAAAACCCAAGTGTGAGTTATCTTGACAATTTGATAATTCCTTCCAGCTGACTTGGGTAGAAACATCACAGAGCTGGGACTGCTATTTAAATTCAGATTTGCAGGACATTTAGGCCTCATTCACACCATACGTGCAGAAAAACCGCTGAAAAATGACATGCAGATTTCACTTGCAGAGACAGCAGTTTTCATGCGCTCTTCAATGAGTTTTATACACGTTGCAGATTCCTGCACAGAAAAAAAATCTGCAGGTGATACCAGTGTGAACAGGACTTATAGAGAACAATTGATTTTGTTGTGTCCTTGCAGAATGCGTCCAGAAAAAACTAATGGATAGTGCTGGGAATTCCTGCAACTTGCAGCCAGCTCTATACTGTCAAAAGCTTAATAAATACATATTTCTATGTTAGGATTCTTGTTTTTATTGGCAGGTATCAGCATGATGACTCCGAATCATACGAAGATGTGATTGTTTTCACCGTGACAGATGGAAATAATGAAGCGGATGGTGTGCTCGGGGTTCAGGTAATTTAATCAGGAATTATAGTTCTCAAAATAAAATGACACATAATATTCACCTTTTATGTTTTTGTTACATTTCCATGTGTCTATTCAGCACAGTCCTCGGTTACCTTTACCTGCCTGCAGCTCTGTTGCGCACATTGCAGATCACAGTATCCTCAGGAAAGTGCCTTTGGTTACATTAAACCCCTCTCACACAAAAGCTGAATGAAGAAAAGGTTTCAGGTACCCAAGTGTGATCGGTCATTAAGAAGAAAAAAGATCGAATAAAAAATTCTTGTTCAGCAGTGACAGGTCATCTTTAATTTTATTTAAAGGAGAACTTAAAGAGGAGTTCCAGTTGAATGACTTTTAAAAATACAGCCACTTACCTGTCCCTTGGTCCCGCGGTGTCCTCACCACGGTTGGTTTCACCGGCCGTCTTGTCTCCCTGGTGCCGGCATCTTCAGTGTGGGCACCCAGCTGTGACAACTTGTGGCTTCACAGCCGGGTGCCCACTGCACATGTGCGAGTAGCTCTGCGCTTTGTGGATGGTCCTGTAGTTTTCTGGGACGTGTCACGTGTACGTGGAGGGAGGGGGGAGGCGATAGCACTGGAAGTGGGAGCAGGGACCTGTCAAATTCAGGTACCTGCTCCCCAAAGGTGCCAATCCTTAATGGGGGAGCGGAAGACAAAACCTTAAAGCGAGCGGTTCTTCCCCTTTTTGGGTGGAGCCAGTGGCAGACTGGCAACTCATGGGGCCCCCGGGCAATAGGAAATAATTGGGCCCCTGTGTCCTTGCCCACACTCAAACCACACCCAAAAAAGCCAAGCCTATAAAAGGTACCAGGGGCATCTCATGGGGCCCCCCACTGACCCCGGGCCCTCGGGCACTTCCCAGGTGGCTGAATGGTCAGTCCGCCCTTGAGTGGAGCTCTGCTTTAAGATGCAATATTCAGCACCAATCCACAGATTGCCCCCCTGCAGTACTTTTTTTCTGCCATTAGATGTCATCAGTCTTATAGCCAGTATCATTTAACCCACTTCCTCCAAGCCTTGGTCATCCTGGACCTGTCCCCGGCATGTTACTGGACAGTGAAAGGAGAAGCAGCAGAATGATGAGCTCATCGCTCTATCCTCTTATCAGTATGTTCCTTATTAGTACATGATCTGTATGCTGGATGGGCTGCTTCTTCCTCTCACTTTCCAGCTCTGCTGTACAGGGATGCAAGAGGCTGATAACAGGTCACATTCAGGAGCTTTCACTGCTTGCATTTAATAATGCATTTATTGATGTATTAATAATTACCGGAGTGCATTAATTTGTATCTTTTATATCGGCCTGGAGTTCAGCCTAATTTTTTTTTCTGGGATGAAAAGGTGCAATCTCAAGCGTAGTATTATCAAACATTTACTGTGATATTCAACCTGTATATGTTAAAACCCACATGGAAGATATTTTTTTTTTTATATATTCTTCTAATTTTTTTTAACATATAAAAAATTAAGTCCTGAAATGAGTTTGATTTATTTTGGGACCTTTTTATAACTTTTACTTGACTTGTTATAAACTTGTGGCTCTCTTTTCCTTTACCCTTTGGACATTTTCTTGATTATGTGTACTGGGCAATTCTTAGCAGTGAAGTGCTTTGTCCATGTAGGGGGCTTTTCCCCACTGACCAACAACGTAAGAGACATTCTTCCCACTGACCAGCATTGTAAGGGGCATTTTTCCCACTGACCCCCAATGTAAGGAGCATTCTTCCCACTGACCACCAATGTAAGGAGCATTCTTCCCACTGACCACCAATGTAAGGAGCATTCTTCCCACTGACCACCAATGTAAGGAGCATTCTTCCCACTGATCACCAATGTAAGGGACATTCTTCCCACTGATCACCAATGTAAGGAACATTCTTCCCACTGATCACCAATGTAAGGGACATTCTTCCCACTGACCACCAATGTAAGGGACATTCTTCCCACTGACCCCCAATGTAAGGAGCATTCTTCCCACTGACTAACAATGTACGGAGAATTTTTCCCACTGACGTCCAATGTAAGGGGCATTCTTCCCACTGACCACCAATGTAAGGGGCATTCTTCCCACTGACCACCAATGTAAGGGGCATTCTTCCCACCGACGTCCAATGTAAGGAGCATTCTTCCCACTGATCACCAATGTAAGGGACATTCTTCCCCCTGATCACCAATGTAAGGGACATTCTTCCCACTGATCACCAATGTAAGGGGCATTCCTCCCACTGACCACCAATGTAAGGGGCATTCTTCCCACTGACCACCAATGTAAGGAGCATTCTTCCCACTGACCACCAATGTAAGGAGCATTCTTCCCACTGACTAACAATGTACGGAGAATTTTTCCCACTGACGTCCAATGTAAGGGGCATTCTTCCCACTGACCACCAATGTAAGGGGCATTCTTCCCACTGACCACCAATGTAAGGGGCATTCTTCCCACTGACCACCAATGTAAGGGACATTCTTCCCACTGACCACCAATGTAAGGAGCATTCTTCCCACTGATCACCAATGTAAGGAACATTCTTCCCACTGACCACCAATGTAAGGAACATTCTTCCCACCGGCTTCCAATGTAAGGGGACTACAATTTTCACAATCTGTTTTTTCTTTTCTGGCCATAACTAATAGGCCTCATTCACTCTAGGCATAAAAAATGCTGCTTTTACAGCTGTTTGAGGGTTTTTTTCTGCCTCTAAATTCCTCCCCATGTTAACCTATGTGTCTGTGCATACTCTAGGCATTTACAGGATTTTAGAGGGAGGTGAGTTTAGTGGCGGAAAAAACCCACGGTACGTTCAGGAGAGGAGCTGTTGAACTTTAAAAAAAAACACCTGATTCACCTAGACGCACGTTACTGTTAGATGCAGGGGCAGACTGACCATTTGGAAATTCGGGCACTGGCCGAGGGCCCGGGTCAGTAGGGGGCCCCTCGAGATGCCCCTGGTACCTTTTTCATGGGCTTTTTTGAGTTTGGGCAAGGACACAAGGGCCCCATGATCCCCTATTGCCCGGGGGCCCCATGAGTTGTCAGTCCGCCCCTGGTTAGATGCTTTCAGCGCTTGAGCATCTTTTGATTTCATTGGTCAGAATAAATTAATGTTCTGGCCAATGAAATTAATACAATTCCAAGCACTTGATGCACCTAAACAAGCTTGAAAAACTGTGGCTTAGGGGGTGGTTTTGCAGCTGCTTTTCTCCTGCCAGGCGCAAAGCATTTAGAAGAGCCCCGGTGCGCATGAGGTCTTATTCTTTTTTTTTTTTTTTAATGATCAGTATTGACATATAGGACAAAGGGGTATTGTACAATAATTGGCTCCGGGTCTCAAAAATGTTAATTTCAACATATTCTTTATTATGTCTTTTAAAACTTTCAACATCACAGTGAAAAGATTTCAAGCCGGGATTCCCCGGGACCTCAAAATGATTTTAAGGGTTCGTCCGTGGTGAGAAGGTTGAGAAGGCTGTAGATTGTTGGTGATGCAGAAAATATCGGATTGTCTTTTGGGAGCAAATGTTCCTTTTAGGAGGAAATGAGATCATGTTTTCTTATAAGAGTTCTTTTTAACTTGCTTTAGATCCACTGCAGGTTTTGGACTTTGAGTTTTCTTGGTGTTTTTCAGTGAATTGATTGCTGCCTTTTGGTTGCACTCCATGGACTTGTCTTTATTAACCCATGTCGTTCTACTTGCTTGGAGCCATCAAAGTCTTTGCAATGCCGGTATTTGAACATGTATGCCGTGTGCCAGAATCCTGTGAATAATTGGGGTGAATGGAGATCCTGAAATTGATACATTTGTTCGGCTCTCCGACAATAATTTTTAGGAGCGGTTCCAGTGTAATGTAGCACAATATCTACTGACGAAAGTATCTCTCATTACCCCGACAAATTGGCATCCTCGCTGGGCCCTCTACCATCCTGTTAAACAAGCGCCTCCATTAACCTCTGAATGGTGGGTATAATTAGGAAGGTAATGAGGCGCCAGATTTGCCACATACACCTGCAATATTTGTGACAACAGGAACGTTTCGCAGCAGCTGCCTATGGAAATATGGACTATTCCATGCGCTCGCTTTGTGTCATCCAATAGTTAATAAAGTAGATTTAATAAAGAGACCCCGTCATGACTGAGCTGATGCAGAAATTTGAATATTCATTCTTAAAGCTGAATTCCAGCCTTACCTTCAGTCATGCACAGTTGTTCCAGCTCCTCTCTTGTACTGAAGCTGCTTACTTCTGTATTGTCCTCTAGCTTTCTAGATTAGAAAGGGGGGGGGGGGGGTTAGTTAGAAGATTGTTAGAAGCCTGGGTATGAGTCAGCCTGGGAGTGAGTCAGTGAGTTCCCTTCAGGTTAGGCTGGGAGGCTCTACAGGTCAGGGCTTCTGGAGCCCTCCCACTTTTCTGGAAACCACTTTCGAGAAGAAGGGCAGAGGGTCAATTCCCAGGCAGGAGGCCTGGCATGGTGGCTAGGACATCCCTTGTGAAAGAGCCTGATCAGTTGGTGTCGGGTGCAAGATGGAGTGAGGAAGGAGCTGCTGTTGTGGAGCCTGGGAGGGGGCCCCAGAGGAGGGAGGGCCTGCCTACAGGCTGAAGCTGGACAGAAGACCTCTGCTGTCCCATAGTCTACTAGGAAATACAGCCTGTCAACAGGGAAGAAGCCATCCCAACGTAAGGTCTGAAAGCAGCTGCAACCCATTAAGCTGTAGGAATAGGACAGTGTAAGTCAGGGGCAGACTGACAACCCATGGGGCCCACGGGCAATAGGGGATCATGGGGCCCCTGTGTCCTTGCCCACACTCAAAGCACACCGAAAAAAGCCTATAAAAGGTACAAGGGCCATTTCATGGGGCCTCGTACTGACCCCTGGCCCTCGGGCAGTGCCTGAGTGCTCGAATGGTCAGTCCACCCCTGGTGTAAGTACTCCTACACCCCCTGGGCCAAAAAAGGGAGAGGGCAGTCAGGTGCAATACCCAACTAGTTCTCCCTCGGACTACTTCATCTGTAGGTATTGTAATCCCTTGCTCAGGGACACTATCAAGACAGCCAGGTGGAGATTTTCATCTGGGGTCTGAGAAAGTTCACTAAGGGGACCAAGGGCTCCTTGCAAAGACTGCTGACTTTTGTCAACGTGCAAAAAAATGCATGTTGTCTGGCTGTGCAAAGCTAAGGGGAGACACAAAAACTCAGCAGCCAGAAGGTAGTTCTACACTTCAATTTCATTGCACACTGTGAGCTTCTCACAGTGCTTTAGAATCTGCAGCAAGTAACAGAGAGCCGGCCCCATTTACTGGCTGGAAGATGTGCAGCATCATCTAGCCCTTTCCTTCCTAACCTGACTGTCTCTGACCCTAGGGCAGTGTGTATGTATATACTGGTTGCCTAAGAACACTCACTCCTCCAGACTGACATCCACCCATCAAAGCAATTTGATGTTTGCTTAATTCCTCCCAAAAGCCATCCCAACATGGCCAGATTTAGGGGGGTGCTGAGGCGGGCTATGCCCCCCAGATTTTAGTTGTGCCTCCCCCAAAGCCAATCTTAACCTGCCACTATACTGCCCTAACCTGATACTTTACCGTCCTAGCCTGACACTATGCTGTCCTTGACTGACACTATACTGATCTCAGTGTAGCACTACCCCCTTAGGAATAGCTGAAGATTTGGGTCCCCCTATAGTCCTGTACAGCCAGGCAACACGCATTGTCGTTTAGACTTGCATACAGGAAACAGTAACCAGTCCTTGAGCTTGTTTTGATGTTTTATTAGGGGATAATAAACTTGGATGGGGTGAGGGGTGTACGGGATGCCCAATGGAACTGGAACGGAGGACAGACTTTATGAAACCATTTCCAAGTCTTTACAGCAAAAATCCTCTTCTGCAGAGCCAGCCAGCCTCTCCTGATGTACCACCCCAGACCCCAGATTCTCCTCAATCCAGCAGCTCTGGGTGAATCCCTGTGCAGGGGATTCAGTGTCTGTTCCTTTAACCTCCCTGGCGGTATTCCCGAGTGTAGCTCGGGGTAGAATTTCAGTACCAAAAGCGGTAACCCCGACCTACACTCGGGCTTACCATGCGGCGCTGCATAGGGAGTCCCTGCAGAGCTTACCTTGTCCTTCGCTCCCACGATGTGTCCCCTGCAGCGTCCCCGGCCATCTCCTCCGGCTGATGCCGGCATCCGGCTTCTGTGTTCCGGTCCCTGTGACGTCGGGACGTATGGGAGCCGGAACCGGCGGGAAATTTGAAAATTTAAAAAAAATTTCATTTTTTTCAAAACGAATTTTACATAGTAAAACATTGCTGTTTCAAACCATTTCACATACATTTTGTCCCGAGTGCTTTGTCCGGCGCCCTGCCTGCATTTTGACTGTTCTTTCTGCCTGGAAACTTAGAAAAGTCCATGGCGTCCAAAAAGCGTCCCTTTAGGTCAAAAGCGGGTTTAGACCGGCTAGAGAACAGCGATAGGAAATCAGAACCACTTGCAGAATTGAGTGATAATGATTCGTGGGGGAAATTCCTCATCAGACACTGAAAACGATTCTGCGACTGAGCTCAGCGATGTGCGAACTTGGCGCTCTATTTCAAATTTCAGTGTTTTGGTTTGATTATATTATTGAATTAAATGTATTATTATATTATTATTTTTTATGATTATTTATTAAATTATAATTTATGATGAATATAAGTGCTATTTGTGTTTCAAATTTTATCATACCCGGGATGTTTACTAGACTCTTTTTCAGATAGATTTCAGTGAGTTATTCCTAAAAATTACAGCCTACAATAAAAATAAAATAATGGTACCGCTTTCAGCACCAAAAATCTGAAATAATCATACCGCCAGGGAGGTTAAATAATGAAACAGTTACGGGTCGCAGCTAATCCAGTTTCCCACCAGAGTGCCCTTTCCCCTATGTGGCCCAGGGGTGCAGGTCTACTCACTTTGTCCCTCTTTTGTGTTGCTGGTGAGTCAATGGCTGCTACCAGGCCTGGGCTGCTCCTTCCCTGCCGCACAGGTGGTCCTCTCTGAGGGCCGGTGAAGTCCCAAGCTTTCCTCCTTCCAAGGTCCTCTGCCTGCAGGTGAGCCCCTCTCCATCTGGACCCCCTCAAAGGCTCCTGCCCCTTTTTCTCTCTCACACATCTTCCACCCGACTCCCTCTCCAACCACTCTCCATCTGCTGAGCCAGCTCAGTTATTGATGAGATAATATAACTTAAAGGTTGTCCTGGCCCCTTGCCAAGCCTGCTGTGTTGGGGATTGGCCAGGATCTTATAAGAGTACAGACCAGCCACTCCTCAGATTTACCCACTGCTTCTAGACCTTTCTCCAAAGTTCCAGAGAAGGGGGAAACTCCAGAGGGCTGGTCTGCAGAACCTCTTAGCTCTGACCAAAATTTGACCCCTGCTAGCTATCACACCCAGGTTGCTACTCAGCCCTAGCTGTCAATTGGAGTCTAGCTCCCC